GACTGATCACAATGCAGTTTCATTATATGAAAAAGAGAAGGTTTTTGTTCCTTAGGAAAAAGCCATATGCCATATAGGTTTCAAGGTGAACCAAATGTCCTGTAGAAAGTAAATGACTGAATTTTGACAGATGGTTCATGCCACAGTATTTTAGATGGTATTTTAGAAAATCTAATAGCTCAAAATTCACTTGATTGGACACTAACATCCACAAACACTGACTTAAAGTAAGTACAAGAAGAGGTCAAATGGAAATTGTACCACTTTTTGTCTATCTATCTCTCTCTCTCTCTGTTTATGTATCGGAGAAGATTCTAGACCATATGGCTTTTCCCGTCTGTTCCATCACCCCTCTGTACAGAAAGAGAACACAAACCTCCAACCCTCTCTCTCTCAGGTCTGTATGGAGCAATCCGAGCAGCTCCGGCGTCCTGCTCTGCCCAGCATGCCTTTGTGGGAATAACGTAATCAAAAGTGGGTTTGTATTGGGGGGAAAACAGTTGTGTGAATGTCTCTTTGCCATATAATTATGTCCATTCAGTGGGGAGAGGGAAACGCTCTCTCTCTGTGTGTGTGTGTGTGTGTGTGTGTGTGTTTAGAGTTCACAGTGTGTTCGCTTGAGACTGCTGTATTCAGAATTTCCGAGTGTGAGCTGCCAAAAGTTAACAAGACATTTATCATACATCATACCACACGCTCCCTAACCAACACACATTACACTATCAGAGCGAGAGGTGAGGCTGGAAGTTTAAGTTTAGGAACAACCTGAACCTTCTTTACACATCCATCCATCCGTCCGTCCGTCTGTCTAAATGATACCAAGCATGTTTACACAGATATACAGTATCTCCTTCAGCATGATGGGAATCTTTGGGAGCTTCTGAAAGCAACACAGCATCTGTTGGGCACATGTGCTGAAAGGTGAGTGAGTTTGCTAAATTAATGGCCTTTAAAATTGCCATTACAGGACAGAACCGATCTGCATTTTTAGCTGTAAATCTTCTCATTATCAGCGTAGTTTCACTCTCGGCTGTTTCCTGACCGAGAATATGACCTTTGACCTTCCCCACTGATATTCAGTTGAAGGGTTTAAACTCACCAAGAGAACGTGAAGTTTGTTTAGTGAGTTTTAGCAGCACTAAAGGCTCATGGGTAGTTGTTAGTGAAGGACTGTATGTGCTGAATGATATGGAGGATCTGCGTGTTCTCTGAGTCACAGACGTTCCTCCGAACAGCATGTGCTCTCAGTTTATTTGACCGCAGTCTTGGGCTGGTATGAAGCAGATGCTCTGGAACATTTCAGCAGGGACCGGTTTGTCATTCATCCACTGATCTGGAGAAATGACAGAAAAATTTCATTTAAAACAGAATGAGCTCCTCTTATGGTGGGTTTGATGTTCATTGAGGAGGTTAATGTCATGATCTCCTGCAGCTTTACAGTAGCTCAGCAATGCTGGAGACAGAATGTGACTAAACTACATATAGAAAGCATTTGGACAAAATCTCAAACCAAGTGGTATTTATTCCAAAGAGAACGCAAACTTTTTAAATTACACAGAAATGAGTTCTTGTTGATCACTTTTTGTTTATTCATCACTGTATATTTTCAGAATTATTCAGCAGCATTTTTGTAATTCTTTGACACTTTTTGGAATCTTCAGAGTAACTGAAGCTGCTGTAGAACATCTCGAATGCTTTTGGAAAACAGCTGAATGAAATAATGCTGACTCAGTCAATGCGTGGCTTTGTTCCATGTGGTCATGTCCACTGGGGGTCCTTCCACCGCAGAGATTCCACACCGCTCACTGGTGGAAGAACACGTAACACTTTAAACCAGGTCTGGAGAAACCTCTCACGCTCATTCACGAAGGCTGATGAAGCTCCAGATGTGTGGAGGGCTTTTTATAACATCTATTACTGGCACAGACATGAACATCTTATAGCTGGAGTCACTTTTAGGAACTCAATGTCCTGTTTCAAAAGGGAATCTAATGAGTCCAACGTGTGTTCTGACCGACTAACAAACTCCACCAAGTTAAAGGAACACTCCACTATTTTTGAAAATAGGCTCATTTTCCAACTCCCTTAGAGTTAAACAGTTGAGTTTTACCGTTTTCGAATCCATTCAGTCGATCTCCGGGTCTGGCGGTAGCACTTTTAGCTTAGCTTAGCATAGATCATTGAATCTGATTAGACTGTTAGCATCTCGCTCAAAAATGATATTACGCAGCGCCTGAAAATAGGCTTATTGGAAGTTACCTAACTGGGACTATTTTCAGGCGCTGCACCCATGGTACGGCAGCAAAGTTCCTTGATTATTACACCAGAATGAGAGTATAGTTCCTAGCCATATCGGCCTAGAAAATCACAGGACAGAACCGATCTGCATTTTTAGCTGTAAATCTTAAAAGCGTAAAAGCGTAGTTTCACTCTCGGCTGTTTCCTGACCGAGAATATGACCTTTGACCTTCCCCACTGATATTCAGTTGAAGGGTTTAAACTCACCAAGAGAACGTGAAGTTTGTTTAGTTTGTTTAGATGCTAACGGTCTAATCAGATTCAATGATCTATGCTAAGCTACAGCTAAAAGTGCTACCGCCAGACCCGGAGATCGGCTGAATGGATTCGAAAACGGTAAAACTCAACTGTTTAACTCTAGGGGAGTTGGAAAAGGAGCCTATTTTCAAAAATAGTGGAGTGTTCCTTTTAATGTGCTACTGAAAGACACTCTCAGATGTGATGGCAATTTTTAGGTCATACCGCAAATTTTTAGTTGGAGTCAAGTTGTTCCTGAATACAGTTTTTCTTGTTTTCAAGCCAGTTTTTACAGTGTTACCTACGTGCAAAATCCCCATCTACCAGGAAACATTCTCAGAACTTTGGCTAAACATTCTTGCAACTCAAATTTATGAACAAAATTCTTCTAGTATCATTAATGGAATGTTTGTTCAAACTTATTAAATTTCTCAAAATTAGCACAACAACGTTATTTATTCATCATTCATAGATTTTATTTATTTATTTATTTTTTACATTTGAGTTCATCTAACACTTTTAAAGACGTTTTAGAATGTTCAGAGAACCTAACATTCCCATAATGTTTGCAAAATTATAAATGGAACATGCTGATAAATGGAATCTTTGTATAAGCAAAAAGGTTTTTAAAATAATAATTAAAAAATGGGCATTTTGAATGTTGAAAGAACATTCAGAATTAAAGTTTTGGTAACACTTTACTTGAAGGGGTGTGCATAAGACTGACATGACACCTTCATAATCATGACATGAATAACTTAATGGAAATGTTAGCAAAACATTCTTAGAACATATTTTGTTACATTTACATTAAATGCAACACAAAATAGCACACTCAAATTAGTCTTATAGTCTTATTTACTGTAATTTTCTCTTAGTTTTCTTCATTTGAGTCATTTAGTCTAAATATACTCCGACGTGACTATTCCTGAGAATCTCTTCTTTAATGGCCTCTCATTATTTTAGAACATGAAGTCTGTGTGAATCTGAATTACTCGACTCACAGCCTCAGATCTGCCCTTCAAAACATGCTGTCTGCGGCCGCACATAATTAACAACCACCACACACACAGGCTCTGACTCTGGATCAGTTTTAAGCAGCCACACGTATTCGCACAGACACATGAGCGCTGTTCTCAGATCAGTGCTGGTGGACACACAGGGTGGAGTGCAGACAGTCAGTGAGACATGTTCAATTAACATCACAGGCGACAACTTTGTGCTTTCATGTGAGATTTTGAGCTCACACTAAAAAAAGCAGTTTGACTATGATGCTGATGTTGCTTTTGATTGCAAATTTTACTATGATCTTATTAGCACTTATGCAACATGCTGAAATCGATTGTAAGTCAACAACTGTGGGGAGCGAACATTAAAACAACTAGGGAAAAAACAGAAAATGTTTGGAGTTTGATATTTATCAGGTTAATTTTAAATCAAATTCAAAGCACATATGACTGTCTATCTATGTTTTGTGTGTCTTGCTGGCTGTTTTATTACAGGATATTGAAATAAATTAGTTTTTTGGTGCCTGCAGACCGTAACCTGCAACCTGATTTTAGCCTCATTTTTGGTGGTGTATGTCCTAACCTTGCTGACGGGAAGGACCTGAGCCTGGGGTACATCTTACACAATTAATTAGTGCTTAAATCTAACTGGTCCAGAGAAGATTTTCAGTCAAAAATTCCCTCAGATCCATCTGCATCTCCACAGCCTTCTGCAAACCGACATTGAAGGCTCTTGCTGAGAGATTAGGTAATTTACCGATGACATTTATCAGCAAATCCAACAACATTTAGGCTTTCTCCATTTGGAGTGTAGTTTGAAATATTTAAACATATCTGTACTTGTTTTTGCCATATTGGGTGTATTTTGATGCTTTTTAAGACTATTGTGTTGTTGTCTTAGCAGCATGCTAATGCCTAACTCTACTGAAATCAATTGTATGTTGACACCTTAGAGGAGTGTTCATGAAAGTAAGTTTTGAGTGATCAGCAAACAGCTGGAAATTTTGCCTGTGGTCATGTTTATCGAGTTCATCTTTAATTAGTGTCTCCAGCTATCCACCTTTTTCCTGAGTAACCAATGAGAGATGCCATGATGGATTCTAACTTCCGTTTGGATGCTGTCGTGTTCCGGCCTCCATAGAAATCCATGTTAAAATGGGGTAAAAAGATCAACTGAATTAATTCAACTAAAATTAAATATAAAAATGTGTGCAGGGTTAAGATGTGTATTAATTTGACTAGAAACACCAGAGACCGGAAATGTAAAGCATCCTTCTGTTATGAGGCAGACGAGACTTCCGCGTTCAGCAAAATTCTTGCATGTCCCACAGTGTAATACATGTGTCAAGGTTTCTGTTAGTTTGGACTTTCAGTTTGCACCTTTTCCCCGGTCTGTTTGTTGTCATGGTTATTGATTTGATTTCCTCATTATGTTCAGGTGTGTCTTGTTATTATCCTAGTTTGGTCTGTGTTTTTCAGTTTCTGTCTGTTCAGTTTGAGTTTGTCAGGCAACGTCAATGTTATGTGTGTCACCAGCGTTTCCTTGCATGGAATTACCTGTCTGTGGATTTATTAAAGACTGTTTATCTTCATATCTTCATTTTTTGATCAAGAAACACTGAAGGTAAATGCCCTCAGTGCTGTCATTCTTGCCGTTGCTGAAAAAATGCTGAAAGAAGACTTTGTGTGTTCTTGCTATAAGGATTACAGAAATGTTGAAGTCTTTTTTCATTTTTTGATTCCTATTCTTTTCTTCTTGGTCGTGCTTCATCAATTGTTTAGTTCAGCTGAATATGAGCAACAAAGCTACATGCTGATCAAGACCTTCTCATGTTCAGCTTTTTTGTGGATTGTGTTACTTCTTATTGACGGTAGATACGTTGCATGTGCAGTATTTTCACCACATCCTCCATGTAACAACACAATAGATGTGAAAGTACTTCAGTCCACTCCAGAATTTTTCCAATCTAAGGTAAGTAAAAATACAACAACTTGTGGCAACACTGCAAAACGGTTTGAAATAATTCTGAATGTACTGTACAGTATAAATCTGATCTCCTGATCTTTCATTTAGCATGCATTACTACCATTAGGGCAGGATTGAAACATCCATTATAATGATTTTCACTAATTAATCGCACGTGTCATAATCAGCAAATCAAAGTATTTGATCTGTGAATATCATTGGAGTAATTACATACCAGTACTGTCACTGCACAACTACTGCCTTAATAAATATAATGAATGAATATCATGAAACTAATCACATATTTTGGTATGATCCCAGCTTGTAGGTTTTTTGCTGTTACATTGTATGCTGCTACTAGCCTTCCTTACTACAGCTGTTGCACATCTGAAAAAATGGTGCAACCAGAGGAGCAATGCAAATACAGCATTATACAACAGGATGAATCCTGAAAACATTTACGGGGCAACGGGAATAAGCCAGAGTATTGACAGTACCTGAACAAAACAACCAGAAAACCACGATTGAAAAAGACTGTTAAAACCAGATCAGTTACAGTGTAAGAAAAGTGTTACCTGTAATATACAGAGTGTAAAATTGAACACCATTGATTTTCATTGCGTATGTATTGTACTCTAAAATGATTTCTTATTTCATCATAAACAGCAAATCATGACACACTGTATGAATACATTGATTTGGTATGCTGTCTTAAATGTATGCAAATTCAATTATCCTATGTGACCATATATAAGAATGGAAACCATGTTGTAAAATGCTGGGTTGACATTTTAAACCACAGGTTAAAGGCTCATTTTTATTCCACTTTTTTGCAAACTAATGCTTTATTTTGTAGAATCATTTGTAGAATCTAACAGCTGTCTAACAGTTACCTAACTGCTTTTCTGATTTCAAATTCTGCATCTGTAAAAACAATAAAACTGCTGATAAATAATCTGGTTATATGATTTTAATCTTTCATTTTCTTTACTTGTTGACAAATTGATACAGACATGTTCTGTGTGTCTTGTTCAAAGCATTGCTGAAGACAACCACATAATACACAGGTAAAAAAAAAAAAACTAATTCAGTTTGCAAAGCTCAGTTCGCATATAGTATATGTAACCCTGCTACAGGTAAGTACAGGCTACACTCTAAAAAATGCTGGGTTAAATACAACCTGTCCATTCTGATTAGCTCCTGTATTTGCATTCATGTGTCTGTGAGCATGCATGTGCACGTGCGTGCATGTGTCATTGTGTCTAGAGGTGGGGGAGGAAGCATACAAATGAAATAGTATCTTAGATTAATAACAGATATAAGTAGTACACTCTAAAAAATGCTGGGTTAAATACAACCCAGTGCTGGTGGGTTGTATTTAACCCAGCATTTTTTAGAGTGTATAACTTTAAAAATGAAGAAAAAAGACAACAAATGTTATTAGCAACAATATTAAAAATAACAATAATAATAATAATTTCATTAAGACTGGGAAAGGGTGGAGGGCAATGAAGAGGGCAAGTAATAATATTAATAATAATAATATTAAATTAATAAATATTTAATAATATTTAACCCAACTTTTGGTTGAAAACAACCCAATCGCTGGGTTTGTCCATATTTTACCCAGCGCTGAGTTGTATTTAACCCAGCATTTTTTAGAGTGTAGGTTCGTTTGAATATACAATAGTCTGAGAATTCAATAGTTCACCTTGGGAAGTTTTGAAATCAGAAACAACAATTTTGCTAAGTTTATGCAGTTTAATTTTGTCACACCAGAGGCAGAACTTGAAATATTTAATCGCTCGCCACAGTGCTTTTATGTATGATCTTCAGATCATGCTAAAGAAAAAACATCACAAGTTCTATACGCTACACTGTGAGGCTGATGTTCCTCTTGACAATGAAGGATTTCAGTCGTGTTCACAAAACCTGCTTATATTGAGGGGTCATTCCAACACCCCCCCAACCATATTTGTTTTAATATTGGAGGAAAACTTGGTTTAGCTTCATTGGGTGTTACCAGTTGTATTTAATTTTGTTCTTTCCTCTGATTGAAATGTTTCAGACAAACATAATACAATCCAGTGCACAACTCTGATACACCAAATGTTTTCACTTTCACTTTCTCTTAATATAAAGTCTATTGTTAGTCGTTCGTAATATCCCTTTAAGACCTTTAATTTGTTAATGACATCATCCTCCAGGAAGTGACATCATTTTGGAGGGAAAACAACAGCACAAACATCAGTAAGTAATGGAAGTGATGGATTCTGTGGTGTTTGTTGGTTTGCGTTTCCAGTTAGATATTCTCATATTTTTTCTATTGTGTAAATAATCACATTTTAATAAAAAAAAAAAAAGGTCCCTGAGGTTGACCGGAGCTTATTTGAGACCCGTTTTGTTTCACACATACCTTTTAAATTTTTTTTACCTTTAGATTAGGAATATAAAGTGTGATTTTAAATCTATGATGAGAGACTAGCGTAAACAAGAACATAATAGATTAGTCACTCTAACTGCTCTTTAGAGATGATTTTCAGTCAAAAATCCATCTGCATCTCCACAGCCTTCTGCAAACAGACATTGAGGGCTAATGCCAAGAGATTAGGTCATTTACTGATGACATTTATCAGGAAATCTAACAACATTTAGACTAAGCCTTTCTGCACTTGGAGCGAATTCAGCGCAAACAATCTGAGCCAACCATGCTGGAGATTCCCTCGAAGGCTGTGATGAATCGCACCGAGCTCAAATGAGAAGAGTGAGCAGTGAAGGACAAAGGCACAGACGGTTTCCACATGTACAGACACTCTGCTCCTCTTGACAGATGAAGCTATATTTGATGTTACATCTTCAAATAGTTCTTCAAACATACTAATGAAATGGAAAGACTTGACTATTTTTGACTTGACCTCACCTTTAATGCTTTCTTAAAGTTCAAACTCAGCTGGTTTAGATATCGTTTTGGAAATGCCAAGTCATCAACTAAAAATTTGTAAAAGTATGCATGCATTTAGTATAGATTTCAACACTTTTTTGCATTTTGTTTGCATAATGTTTGAACTTGTATTCAGGTGAACAATATAAGTATGCTCAGAAGAAACATTTGTGTTTGTGCATGATCGGTCCTGATCTAAAACGGTTGAGTCCAAATCAAACTGTTTGCGGGATAAAAAATGTGTGAAAACTTTGTTAGAGAGCCAGTGGTAACTAATTCTATAATTGCTCGTCTCTCATTGCTTTGCATGTCATGTTAAATTCACCTGAGTTTATGCAGTCAGATGCAGATTTATTAATAAGCACTTGTTCATAATAGCTTTATATTGACCGATGGCACCTGAGGGAACGTGCAGGATGAGCCGCTGATGTTCTGGGCGAAGAGAAATCTTTCCTTTGGCTTTGGCTCAAAACTTTGCCAGTCTGTCCATCACTGTTATTTTCAGTGTTCTTTTGGAAAGTGTTTCCCTCGTTCTTCTGCTGTGTTTTTCCAGGACTTTTGAGAGCACTTAAGAACATCAAAGTCTAATATTATTAAATTTTATTTGTTTTGTGTGAGATGGATGATATAAATGATCTATAGGCTAGTACCATTCAAAAAGTTGGGGTCGGTAAGATTGTTTTGTTTTTAAAAGAAGTCTCTTCTGCTCACCAACACTGCACTTATTTGACCAAAAATACAGTAAAATTGTGAAATATTGTTACAATTTAAAATAACTGCCTTCTATTTGAATATATCTTGAAATGTAAGTTATTCCTGTGATGCAAAGCTGAATTTTCAGCATCATTACTCCAGTCTT